TGATCACCTACTACGGCAGCTTCATCGACAAGATGCGACAGATCCGCACACCTCTGGACGCTCTTCTGAAGAAGGACAAGCCGTTCGAATGGTCTACAGAGTGCCAAGACGCCTTTCAGCGCGTGAAAGACGTTCTTGCCTCACCTCTTCTGCTCACTCACTTTGATCCGAAGTTGGACATCATCGTCGCGGCCGACGCCTCCGACTACGGAATTGGAGCAGTCATTCTGCATCGTTACGCCAACGGATCTGAAAAGGCAATCTACCACGCCAGCCGAAGCCTCAACGAAGCAGAAAAGAAGTACGCGCAAATCGAGAAGGAAGGCCTCGCTCTCATCTTCGCCGTCCGGAAGTTCCATCGCTACATCTTTGGACGCCGATTCACACTTCTGACGGATCACAAGCCACTTCTCGCAATATTTGGCAACAAGAAGGGACTGCCAGTCTACTCCGCCAATCGTCTTCTCCGATGGTCACTGATTCTTCGTGGTTACGACTTCAAAATCGAATACCGCTCCACCACGAACTTTGGTCAAGCGGACGCGCTCTCTCGCCTCATCTCCGACGACCAACAGCCGACAGAAGACATCGTCATCGCCAAAGCCGCTCTTGACGCCGACGCCGAGTACCGAGCAGCCGCCGTCTTCCTTCCAGTCACTCTGAAGGACGTCGCCAAAGAGACAGTCAACGACGAAACCCTAAAAGATGTCATCGATTCCGTTCGCTCCAACGGAAGCCGGAAGAAACACTCGAATGCAGCCGCCAAGTACCTGAACCAGCCTCAATTGCTGTCACTCCAGGACGACTGCCTGTTCTTCGGCCCTCGAATCATCATCCCGACTTCACTTCGCCAACGAGTCCTGAAACAACTTCACGAAGGACACCCTGGAGAGAAGCGGATGAAAGTACTGGCTCGTCAGTACGTCTTCTGGACGAACATCAACGCCGACATCGAAAATTACGTCAAGACGTGCCACAACTGCCAACAAGTTCAAAAAGCACCGGTTAAGACGGAACTCTTCTCCTGGCCTCAAGAAGATCGACCATGGTCTCGAATCCACATCGACTACGCTGGACCGTTCCTCGGGAAAATGTACCTCGTAGCCGTCGACGCCTACTCCAAATGGCCTGAAATCTTCGAAATGACGTCTACGACAAGTTCCGCCACGATCAAGCAGCTCACTGAACTCTTCGCGCAGTTTGGGAATCCTGAAACAC